GTGCCTCATTGTCTCCCTTCTTCTGTTTGTCTGTGTATTCTTTCGCTATCCCTATCGCCGCTGGATCTCCCCTCCTCGTGAACCAAACACACGTGACAACTATGTCGGGGCCAGACCCCGGCAATACAAGATTGTCAGTAACTGAATATTCAGAAGTAGTGAGTCTCTCCTTCTTCCTACTCTGTTTTCTTCTGAAAGTTCAGCTAAACCTATCCACTGTTGGTGACCCTGCTGGTACTTAAAATACCTGTGGTATAGCTTCCAGGATCAAATCAGTGCGTAAGTCATAAGCCACAACAGTACAACAAACTGACAGGCAAATGGTGGGAAAGATCATAGATTAATGGAAAAGAGTTGAGAAGTAAAGAGTTGAAAAGTAAACCAACCACATACAGTGAATTGATCTTTGACAAAGAGCCAAAACACATTAAATGGGGAAGAGATAATCTCTTCAACAAATGGTGCTGGCAAAACCAAAATTGATTTGCAAAAGAATTTAAAAAGACCAAAATATCACACCATATACAAAAACTAACCTAACATGAATTAAAGACTGAAGTGTAAATCCCATAACTATAAAGATCAACAAAGAAAAAAATAGAGACAAACATAAGGGCTCCAATGCATGGCTTACCCAGGCTAGCAAACATTGTTGGCTTATCTGCAGTGAGCAGAAAAAAAAGGGCTACCTCTAACTGACTTTTACTTGCACAAAAGAGTTATTTTCAGAATGAACTGTGCTTGGGGCTGAGTGGAGAGTGGCAACTGATAGTTCTGGTGCTGTCTACTTCCTGTAAGGACAAGAGAGTGTACTTACGGATGGCGACGATCATGCAGCGCCTGGTGTTATAATCACAGGTCTGAAACGTATTGCAAGTGAAGGTGTTCAACACTGCACAGGAATGGCAAACCACATTGTATGTCCCTGAAGGAGAGAGAGGAGGAATGTGACTTTGGCTCCCAGCACTGCACACCCAGAGCCTACTTTGGGGTCCCACTTAGTATGTGGGACAGGCTGTGCTGGGTTATGGCCAACTCTCACGCTGCTCTCGGGACAGCCCCAATCTATTAGCTTAGGGCCTTACCAGGTTCACTTACCAACAACAGAAGGACCACTTCTAAGAGGCTAGTCTGGGTGTCTCTGGACTCCAGTCACCTTGAATGTCATTTCAGGTGAAGTTCTCCTCCCTACAGTGATCAGCATCAGCCCCCAAATCTACCTGGTAAGCCCCACTGATAGGAGACCCTAGAGAACACTCCTACCTGAAGAAGTTGACAATGAGTAAGACTTACATTTTCTCTGAGAATCAGGGACATTGATGTTTGCCAGTGACTGGATTAGCCCGGTATCCATTGGTGGCCGGGTGAAACTGGTCTCCATTAGTAGTGACTTGTTAATGCTGGACTCTGCCAGTGGCCAGGTAAGGTTCGCTTCCGCCACTGGCAAGGTGAAGTTGGTCACTGCCAGGGGCAGCCCCGAGGCCATGAGCAAGACCAAGAGGCACATCGTGTCCTGGACAAGTTTTGCCCTATGGGAGAGGAGGCCAGTGTCCTGTCAGCAGCAGCTTGTCTCCTGATAGTCACCCGGACACTTTCACGACAGCCCAGCCATGTAGCATGACTCCCCAAGCCATGGCGTTTTCCACTGACTCAGATGCATGTAAAAATTGTACCATGAATAAAGAAGACCTTAGAAGTACAGGCAAATTTGAATTATGGTGTGGAAGAAGAATATTAAATGTACTATGGGAGAACAAACAAGATGGTGAATTGGGAAGAAGTGCAGTGAGAAACTTCGTCAGCAACAACACAGAATACTGGACCAAACAGGCTCAGAGAATGGTGCCAGATTTCTGAGCCACACATAAAAGAACATTTAGAAGGTTGGAAGGCTTACAGCGAGGGGAATTTGTAGCAGAAGTAAGAAATACCTTGCTTTCTAGTCCAAGATGCTCAGCTGCTCCCAGAGCCGCCATCTTGGGCAAGAACAAGCAGGTGAAAGATCAGAGCAGCCACAGGTGCCTGATAAAACTGCAGAGATAAAGGTGTGGACACCCTTTTAATTATTTTTGTATCTATTCATTAGTCTCTTGCTGGCTGTGCACCTCCATCCAGATGACTAAAGGAGTGCCTGAGGGAGTGAACACTCTACCCCACGACCAGAGGGTTCTACTACACATGTGCACAGATCTCAAAATTTAAGTGGCAGTTTCCACTTAAAACCAAACAGCAGTACGAAACAGCCACTGCTGGCCTTGAACTGTTTATCACTAGGAAAAAGGCCTGAACGGGGATTGTGGAGCAGGACAGGAAGACTAAAAAGCAAATATTCCAAAAAGTAAACTCCTGAGTTATGTCACAACCATCAACAGTGGCACCTTGAAATTTCTCAGGAAGAAGAGTAAAAAGGGAAGCCCATCTCCTGATCACATCTACCTGGAGGCAATCAGAAAGCATAAAAAATACCAAAATACATACCCATCTAAATATTAAGGCCAAAGCCAACTCCTGCATATGCCCAAAAAAACAGAAACAGATGACAATATCAGCAGAAACGAGATCAAA